CTGGCCTCACCACCTTCCTAAATGCATCGCTGCAATAACGAGCAAATAGGCTGAGAAACACTCTCAGCAAGCATGCTGAGAAGCACTCTCAGCAAGCAAAATGGCCCATGAGCAGCCCAAAAATTACCTTCCATCATTGACTCCTTATGAAGAACAAAGAGTCGATGGGAAGAACTTTGCAGGAAAAAACTTCGCTGGGGGCCAGAGAACATTTCCTATACCTCCCATACCAAAGGTGACATCAAAGTAAATATAAGGCGGACGGACTAAATAGTCCATTTTCGGATCAGATAGATCGTCAGAATGCCAAGAAATGGCAGCAAATTGGTTTCGAATAAGAAAATGGGGAGATGAAGACAGAGGATGAAAAATGTTAAACATTTATAAGGGGGTGAAGATGAAGAGACAGAATATGAACAGCCACATTTCTGTCTAATAGACGGAATTAAATGGCCCTAAGTCTCGGGAACAGTAATGGGAATATCAAAAGGGAATGGACAAAATTCTTAATGCAAAGCAGTTAAATGCTTGAAGAATTGATGATTAGAAAATGAACATCAAATAAATGCACAAGAAATTAATGTTCATTAATAAGGGACAAAAGTACAAAAAAGAAAAGACATCGTGTGTCTTAATTACAAACTACCCCATAAGGAACGAATTCGTTCCCTAAGTTTTTCCCAATCCTCGTTCTGTCGGGAGGAAGTGATGTTCAATTCAGCCGCAACGTCATCATCATCAACCTCCAGCTTCTTATACTGTTCGACCAAGGATTTGGTTCGTTCAATTCCCTGAGAGGCGTTGCGCTTTTTAGCGGCCATCCTCGCTCTGCAATCGTCCATTTTGGCTTGAAGTTCCCTCATCTAAGTAGCCAAGTTAACCATCAAGGAGTCTTCAATCATGACTTCGGAAGAGATTTCTTGCAACTCGTCCTTAGTCTTGTTGATCTCCAAGCAAAGAGACTCTTTCTCGGCTACGACTCGAAGATATTGAGTACGCTTGGCCTTTAGTTCAGCATTCTTGGCCAGCATAGTAAGGACCTCGGAGTGAATGACCTTCAACGTCGCTTTAAAGTCGGCAGAAAGATTGAGCGACGGAAGCGTCAGTGCTTGCTCTAATTTCACACTCAAGCGTTCAAGTTCATCCTTGTGTCTGGCAACACTAGCCCTTCCAATGTCCATGTCCATGAAGGACACATACTCAAATACCAACCCCTTCAAGAACTTCAAGTCCTCTTCTGAAGAAGCAGCAGGACGATCATATGGAGTAGGGCGAGGCATTTGGACCTGCCCCCAGGAAGCGAACAAATCCTGGATAGAACGAACAATCCTGTCAGCATCTTGCAAAGAAGATTGCCAACATTAAAAATATTCGTTACAACGAACAAGTTGGAAATAGGAATCGTAGAAGATGGCGCACCCTCAGCCAAGCTGGCCACCAACGACTCATCCATTCGTGAGGACTTCCCCTTGTCCGAGCGAGAAGACGTTACCACAACGGGCGGACTCATGGGAGTATCTGCAAAGTTCAAAGAGCAACCAGTCAGAAACCAATAACACGAGCAAAGTAAGACATCAAAAATTGAATTACCTTCTGCTTCGGTGATTGGGGGGTCGACGCCCTGGGAGGAAGGCGGCTCATTCATGGGTTGTGATGAAGAATCTGGGACTGAAGATATACCTTTAAGCATGGTCCCATCATCAACCGGTTTGGATGAAGTAGCCTCAACAGGGGATGATGGAGCAGGAGTTGGTAATGCCAAAGATTTTGAAGGGGAAGCTGAGCTTTTCTGAAAAGTCCAAAAGATCATCAGTACACAGAAAATTTTCAAATGGGGAAGAGCATACTTGTAAATAGGCCAATTTAAGTACCTTCCTTTTAACGATAAGAGGGACATCATCATCATCATCATCAACATCATCCTCCAGAATGGGAGATGCTGAGGCTGGCCGTTTGCGGCTTGGAGCACTCTTGGCCATAGTTGGCCTGGCAGGGAGGGAAGAAGATGGACGAGCAGATTGTTTAGTACGACGAGAAGGAGGGGGGTTCCGAATAGACAAAGGAGTGGCCAAAACAGGAGGAGGAGAAGAAATACTCAGTTGGTCTAATGAATGAAAGGCACGATTGGCCTCAGTCGCAAATAATCTGCGCTTTACCGATGGCCAAAGTTGTTCGAAAAGAGGGTGAGTAGCATGACAAGGATTAAAAGGGGCTAATGAAAAATGGCTTGATAAGTGGAGGTTGCGAGCGTTTATAGCCTCTGCTTCCACCTTATTAATGGTATGAAAACGGTCGTTTAAGTTCTTCGAATAACAAAGAGGAACAGGCCAAGTTTGGCCGAAACCAAGCCGCCGAGCAAAAAATTGGGGAGCATAAATCTCTACCCCAGCTTTGGCATTAGTCCCGGTTAAGATATCGTGGAAAAGCTCCCTCCCAGTTAAGAACTGGATCCAAACGAGCAGAGAGGTGCTCGCGCTATCTAGAGTGGAAGGAGGATGCACGTAGTCCGGAGTCAAAAAAGGAGGGAAAGGAAAGAAGGAAGAGATTGAATTTAAAGAATAAAAGAATGAAAAAATGTCCCTTTTGGACATACTTACAGGAGTTAAAGTCTATAAAGGGCAGCCAAAAACAAAGAACATAAATTCAAAGGCCTGCCACGCGCCAGTTCATGCGCTATAGGTAGATAACTCAGAGAGGGCTTTATACTAGGCACGCACAACACATATTTACAAAGCCAAAGTAAAAGGAAGGCCACTCGCTCAGCATGAGTAGGCTCAGCACTCGAATGATTGTGCAGTGTCTGCAGGCTTGAATAAGAATCGGTATAGTTTTTACCGAACTGAGGGGCACCACCAGAAACTAAGATGCCTGGGAAAACGGTATCACCCAAAGGTGGTAAATTTACCAGGGCCCCAACATCCCTTAACGTAATAGACATGGGGCCAAGAGGAAAAATAAAGGTGTTATACTCAGAGGACCAAAAGCTCAAAGCAATCAGAAAGAGCGCTGAATCAAAAGTAGGAGGGTGAATAGAGACTTCCAACAAATCAGAAATCCTAGCGCTATCAAAAAGTGCCTTAGTAGGACCATGACCCACAAGACGAGCATGCCACCTACGAAAAGCTACTTCAGATTTGGGCCAAGTGCGAATACCTTTTTCACGAAGTGGCCCCAGCAGCAAAGAATTCAGAAAAGGAGGGCCATGAGTGCAAGGAAACAGCTGACCCACCGCTGCCTATTCGACTGCTTCCGCATTGTTGAAGAAAGGACCTAAGTAAAACTCATTACGTCCAACATCGGCGGGCGCAAGAAAACTTGAGGTTACGTATGAACGACTCAGAAGTTTCTGAAAGTCGTCAAAACTAAAGGAATCGCTAGCTTGGGATTGTAAAGCAGCCATTGAAGAAGGAGCGAAGCTTTTCAGAATTACGTAACAAGGAAGCAAAATATGAACAGTGAATCGCGAAGGATGCGTAAGAAATATGAAACGTGATTTCGTAGCAGTAAAATGGCGTGTTCAGGGTTTATAAGGGTTTGCAAAGCGACGCACCTTTTCAAGTTATAGAAGGAAACAATGATTGAAATTCTTTGGGAATCGTGAACGTTGCTGAAGACGTGAAGTGAATATGGCAAAATTCAATAATTATTATTAATTCTGCCATATTGGGGGGTAATTGTTGACACATAAAAATTCAGCCCAATTAAAGAGGATCAGACGATTGTGTAAGGGACGAAACCTCTTGAGACAAAGTCCCAAAAAGGGGTTGTTGACACATAAAAATTCAGCCCAAATCGAACAGCCCAGAGAATAAAGTCCAATTGGAGGGTCCCCAAATCAGATAGCCCAAAGAACGAAATCCAATTGAACGAATCAAGGTGAATGCCCAAATAAGGGGCCCAATAGTGCGGTAACGCCATCGCCCAAGTTTGCAAGTCGCTCAGAGTCTGAACGAATAGAGTGGCATACGGTCGTCCAAAGTCTCGCCCAAATCTTCAAGTCGCCCAAGGTA